GTCAATTAAATTGACTCACTATCCGTAGTCAAACTTTTTTAAATTTTGGGGTAGTTTACAAATGCGCCGTAATGTTTTATTATTATATACAATTGTAGGATCACTACTTCGTGTAAAAAGATTTAAAATTTGTGGTATTTGCGTTTATCTATTAAAAATGTCTTTAATCAAATGATTTGTTAATTATGACAGTGAGGAAAAACTCGTTACCATATTAAAACCTCGTATACTGATGTTTACATTGAAACAATTAAAGATAGTTTGTTTAAATTGGAACGAGATAGGTCAGTGTTTAGATTCGATGAAAGTGAAATATTAGAAGGATTTGCTAAAATTTATACGTATACGTAAACGGGTACGTATTAGAAAGCTCACGATATATTAGAGAAGGTATTGGTTCTATTCAAAAATTAGTAAGAAGAGCTATACAGTTGGGATCCGTTTCATTCAATGAATATTTGCCAAGTCAAATTATACTCGTCAGTTAGTTTTTAAATATAACTATAAACTTATATATCTGTATATAGTGTTATATTTTGCTTTAATAAATAAAAACTAGCAAAACTACTTAGAAAGAAAACAATAGATTATATTTTAATAATAAAAATTTATACGTACTAAAAGTTATTAATATCGCTTCTATTATCATAACAATTATACCAATGGTGTTGAACGCCATACGTATAATGTTTTAATCTAATTTTTGTTGTCTATCGCTATAAACTAAAAATTAAAGCTAAAAATAAAATGGGGATGCTAAACATTTTTATTTAATACATCCGACCTTGGTTATTTAGACAGTTTTTTGAGGTATAGCAACTGTGGTGTTAAACACCACTGGTGTGATTTAACAATGCCATACGTATTAACATATTTTTACTATATATTAAAATTTAGAATCAGAATGCAATTATAAATTAAAATAGGGCTAGCTAGCATAAGGTTTTTGAAGTTTCGAATATTTTTACTTAATGCCCGATATAAATTATTTAATAGGCTTTTCAAATTTTGAAACAAAATATATTTTGATAACTCGGAAATGGATATTGTGAAAAATTTATATACATATAAAATTAAAAAAAGAAAAATTTTAAAATTGATAAATGGTTTAAAATCGCGAAGTTTCAACACGAAGCTTTAGAATTTATGTCAAAAAGCTTATTGATTTCCGTTTTTACAATTTTGTATGATCACAAACAGCGATTTTATTGGTCCAGTATTATTGGGTGAGTCATATTTTGGTCAAATGAGGTGGTCTTCTGATTACAATGTAATCAAACCTATAAATAAAGCAAATCCACGATCAACTAATCTTCTAGCCATTTATCCTTTTGACTAAAAAAAAAAAAAACATCAAAAAAATAAATACGTATAACGAAATACCCAAAACTCAGTAGTCTACTTAACGAAAATAAAAGCGCAATAAAATATGCCTCCCAAGACAGCTGAAAAGAAGCCTGCGACTACCGGTGGTAAAGCTCCGGCCACTAAAGTTCCAAGCGAAAAGAAGAAACCAGCAGCCCCTGGTGATAAAGTCAAGAAGAGAAAACTGAGAAAAGAGACTTACTCAAGTTACATCTACAAAGTCTTAAAACAAGTTCACCCTGACACCGGTATTTCGAACAAGGCTATGTCGATTATGAATTCTTTTGTAAATGATATCTTTGAACGCATTGCTGTTGAAGCTTCTAAACTTGCGGCGTACAACAAGAGATCTACCATTTCGTCCAGAGAAATCCAAACAGCAGTTAGGCTTATTCTTCCAGGAGAGTTGGCGAAACATGCCGTTTCCGAAGGTACCAAGGCTGTAACCAAGTATACCAGCTCCAAATAATCGAGGAATCAAATATTCCCAGTTTCAAGGAAATAGTTCTCAGTTTGAGTTGTTGATGAATTTATACAATTTCACAACACATTATTTTCAAATTTAGCTTTTTTCATATATGTATTTTGCGGAAAGTATTGCAAAATCACAATCTCAAACATTACATACATATGCTTTAGCTTAGTGAATTCCTTTTGCTTAAAAATATTTTCATCATTTTGTTTTCGTTTCGTCAACCAACGTTGAGAAGGTGAAGTAATAATCTACGTTGGAATTTTTTTTTCGTTTTGTTTGACCGGGCTTTGCGAATAAAATCCATTTTAATCTTACTTTATTATTGGTTAGTAGCTTTATTGTTAAATTTGTGTTTTAATCGGTCTATTAAATATCGGTAGTAGCGTATACTAAGGCTAAGAACTAAGAACAAAAAGACTTCCGCAAATTGCCTGCACAGCTAGAAATCTGAGAGGGACAATTATTAATTGTTTTTAGTTAATAATCAAATATTATTAGGTGGATTATACGGTGTTTCCGCTAGAGCGATTTCCTTACGAACATTTTTAATCTATTATTATTTATGTGAATACATACTTATATTAGTGAATACTTACCGAGTGCAATAAATAAATAATTCTTGGTTTAAGTCAGAGATGATTTCGTATTAATCATATTAATCACGTTTTTTTTACAAACATGCCTTTTTGTGTCTCTTGTTCATTATACCACAATGACATAAACGAACATTTTAGGACTTAGCTGAACATAATCAAAAATTTCTGCAAATTCCGTAATTCCGTAGAGACATTTTGTGTATTTACTTTCTTTTTATACATGGAAAAATATCTGTCGCGTGCATTACATATCACATCTATATACAAATAGTATTTTAAAATTTGATCTACATTAATTGTCACTCGGCAGTTCATTCACAAAAAGAACGGATGGTCATAGTACTTTAAAATTGCTCCTGATCTTTCACATAACGAGCTTTTAAATAACGATGGTAAACTATATCTAAAAACTTGATAATATAATCAGCCATTTGCATTCTTTAAGATTGTCTTTTATCTTTAAAAGGCGTAAACTAACCATTCAAAATCAATTTTATCAGTCAAACACCCTACGTCCTTATTTAGCTGCGGTTCGATCGACCTTGACCGCCGTTCTTTGCTTAGAAAATTTCTCCTCGCAAGTTGTAGAGCGTCATAACAAACCAGAGGTTGAGGCACGGTAATATTTATCTTATTTTTATTTGTGAAAAAGCCTTATCTAATATAAGATGTCTCTTGAGATTAGATCCTCACCGGAAATAGTGTTAAATCCTCTTACAATTAGCCGAAATGAAAATGAAAAAGTTTTAATAGAGCCATCAATTAATTCAATTCGTATTAGTATTAAAATAAAACAGGCTGATGATATTGAAAGTATTTTGT